GGTAGCCGTTTCTCAGGCTCCCTCTCCGGAATCGAACCCTAATTCTCCGTCACCCGTTACCACCATGGTAGGCCACTATCCTACCATCGAAAGTTGATAGGGCAGAAATTTGAATGATGCGTCGCCAGCACAAAGGCCATGCGATCCGTCGAGTTATCATGAATCATCAGAGCAACGGGCAGAGCCCGCGTCGACCTTTTATCTAATAAATGCACCCCTTCCAGAAGTCGGGGTTTGTTGCACGTATTAGCTCTAGAATTACTACGGTTATCCGAGTAGTAGTTACCATCAAACAAACTATAACTGATTTAATGAGCCATTCGCAGTTTCACAGTCTGAATTCGTTCATACTTACACATGCATGGCTTAATCTTTGAGACAAGCATATGACTACTGGCAGGATCAACCAGGGTAGCATTCATCGATCACAGCAATTCCCCGACACATTCTCGCAAACGCAAAGGAAAGAGAGAAAGGACGAGGTTTTGACTGTCATCTTTTGCCCGAAGGACGGATGAGCTTTGGCGGGACTGAATCACTTCGAGTCACCGTCTACAACTTTTCCGCATCCGAGATTTCAACCGGCAACTTATTCACCAATGCGAACAAGGCAACAAATGCAATGTCGAGAGGTAAACAAGGGCCGATTTTTGTGCCCACGACTTCCCCACGAAGGAGATGCCGCGGACAAAGGTGTAAACCAAACTCAACAATACCTTCTAGTTAGGTACGCAACACAGGCCCCGGATCCGATCATCGAGCGTAACATCGCCCGTGAAGTAACTGAGAAGGATAGGTGGTAAGTAGTTGGGTGCGCGAGCACGGAGCCTACAAACACTAGCTATCCGATCACCACTCATACGCCGAACGTTCAATTGACCCAAAAACATCAATCGTTCCCCGACTCCTCCGAAATATTCGGCTGAGAAGAGAGAAGACGGACGAATCCAAGCCAAAGCCGCACAAGCGCGAAAAACCGTCGAGACAGCCTAGGCGGATCCATGCTTTCGCACGCCCATCCAACCTAGGCTGCGAATATCGGAGCCGCAGTGCGAAGGATACACACGAAACCGGGAGCCTCGTGTCACTACCAGCCGATATCCACTTCCCATCAAAAGATGGTTGCCAAGAACATCCGCAAAAGGTAAACTGGATGTGACGCCGAGAAACCCGCACGACGTAACAACCTGCGCGTACCTCCGTTTCAGTTCAAAGCCGCAAGGTGTCGATGCCCATGGGCGACACTCACACCTTGCTCAACTCGGGACAGCCTAGGCGGATCCATGCTTTCCAACGAAGCACGACCATCCAACCTAGGCGGGTGGAATCGATGCCCATGGGGACATCTCGGTATTTCGGGCGCATTCCGAATATACCGCCACCCACGGCCTAGGAGAATCCATGTCAGCCCATGTCATGACACGCCCATTCTCTTCGGCGACGGGGTGAAACGATGCCCGTGGGGACATCTCGGTATACCATGCGCTTTCCCAATATACCGCCACCCCAAGGCCTCGAAGAATCCGTGTCATCCCACGCATGACACGCCCATTCTCCGCGACCACTCAGCAATTTTTGTCCGAGAACTGCTGAAAAAACTCAAAAACTGCGACAAAACCGATCGCCGGAAAAGTCGCCGGAAAAATTTTCCGGCGATAATCCCGGCGGTCGGACGGTCGGACAGTCTGTCGGTCATGCCACCCGATAATATCCCTCGATCGCTACCCACGTCCGGAACCGAGTAGGGAGGTACCCTCGGTCTGCCCAGACTTCACCAACACCCACCCCCCTATATAGCTTTTTGTCCATTTTTGGGTCTGGCACCAGTGGAGATGCAAATGTCTGAGGAGTCACTGGTGCCAAAAAAAAAAAAATACTTGGAATTTTGTTCTGATTTTTTGCATGCTTCATAAGGATAGTGAATCCTATTTTCTGGTAAATTTTCGTAATTTTAGGAGACCTCTAGCTAGGTCTTTCGAGCTAAACCAACATCGGATGATCATGGCCTAGCCCGGGCTCCGTGGGCACATTTGATGCAAGCTTGACATCCTACACTCTTTATTGATGTATTTTAAGACTTTCGATCGTAAAAAATGCATCCCGTACGATGAATTTCAAAATTTGGTTCGGCACATACTATTTCCTCGGCCATCCGGACGTCCGGATGCGTACTTATCGACGATCCATCGTACTGATCGATTTTTTTTCGAGGATTCCACGAACGTTACTCTTTATTGAGGCATTTTAAGACTTTCGATCGTAAAAAACTTCATCCCGTACGATGAATTTCAAAAGTTGGTTCGGCACATACACTTTCCTCGGCCAGCCGGACGTCCGGATGCGTACTGATCGACGATCCATCGTACTGATCGATTTTTTTTCGAGGATTCCACGAACGTTACTCTTTATTGAGGCATTTTAAGACTTTCGATCGTAAAAAACTTCATCCCGTCCGATGATTTTCAAAAGTTGGTTCGTGACTTACTATTTCCTCGGCCAGCCGGACGTCCGGATGCGTACTGATCGACGATCCATCGTACTGATCGATTTTTTTTCGAGGATTCCACGAACGTTACTCTTTATTGAGGCATTTTAAGACTTTCGATCGTAAAAAACTTCATCCCGTCCGATGATTTTCAAAAGTTGGTTCGTGACTTACTATTTCCTCGGCCAGCCGGACGTCCGGATGCGTACTGATCGACGATCCATCGTACTGATCGATTTTTTTTCGAGGATTCCACGAACGTTACTCTTTATTGAGGCATTTTAAGACTTTCGATCGTAAAAAACTTCATCCCGTACGATGATTTTCAAAAGTTTGTTCGGCACATAGTATTTCCTCGGCCAGCCGGACGTCCGGATGCGTACTGATCGACGATCCATCGTACTGATCTTTTTTTTTTCGAGGATTCC